CAAACAAAAAGACATATAATTTGATATATCACTCATCCCACCCCTCCGGGCCAAGCTAATGGACTAGCTTCGTAAATGTAGGTATCGGCTAATAATGTAGGTGGAAAATTTGGAGATCCCCCGCGGAAAGTTTTGTCAACTAAGTGGTTCTTCGGGGTGCGCCCATACCCCGCATTCGGTATCCACCTTCACCCCGCCATCCCACAGCGGTTCGTGTGGGGGATTTCCGCATCCAGTAGCAGGGTGGAAGTATTTATGTACCAGAAGTCCTGTTATGGGGCAAAGTATCCACAGAATGTATCAGTTCGATGATATGGCGGACGGAAACTTCATCAAGTTAGTCCCTTGGCTGCTATGCTTCGGGGTTGTCTGGGTCGCTTGGAAGACCCTGCGATTTGCTCTCTCCACCCAGCGCTCACCATTCCTCCCTCCTGGACCTCCAGTAGTACCATTCCTAGGTAAGATGGGCTCATTGTTTTCCGAGTGCAATGAACTAACCCGTAATTAGGAAATTTGCACCAAGTCCCGTCCAAGAAGGCGTTTTTAAAGTACGTATCTGAGATGCTGTTTGTAACCTATCGATTGATACTGACCAACGTCCAGGTTTCAAGAATGGGGAAGGAAACACGGCGCGATCGTTTCCGTTAAGATGGGACCTACCGACATGGTCATCCTCAATAAAGCAAAAGACGTTAGAGAGTGAGCAATCTCGTTTTCGTTCTGTTTAGCACTCAACGTTGACACGATCGGTAATTCTAGATTATTCGATAAACGGGGCGCCATCTATTCGAGCCGACCCGCAAATCACATTGGCACCGAAGTCATCACACGTGATGATGTTCATTTACTGCTCATGCCTTACGGTCAGGCATGGCGGGAGCAGAGAAGAATTTATCAAGCCATTCTCAGCATTACGGCCGTGGGATCCCTCCGACCGCTACAGGCAGCAGAAGCAGTCTTGACACTCCACCAACTAAGCCAATCACCAGAGCAGTACTACGATCATGTCCGTCGGTACTCCACGGCGGTGATACTCTCCTCGGTCTTTGGGGTCCGCGGACCAAAATTTCATCATCGGAATATCACGCGCCTCTACAAGGTTCAGGATCAATTCACAGCGATTCTCGATACAGCTGCAACACCACCAGTTGATGTCTTCTCCATCCTGAAGAGCCTGCCAAACTTCCTATCCCCTTGGCGTCGATGGGCGTACCGAATTCGAACCGAGCAGCGACAACTTTATTTTGAGCTTCTGCAAGATGTCAAAGACCGCCGGAAGCGAGGCATTAAACGGAACTGCTTTATGGACCAGCTACTTGATGAATCCTTCCGACAAAAGTATTCTCTGGACGATGAGCATATTGCATATATTGGCGGAGTGCTCATGGAAGGTGGATCGGACACCACGTCGTCGACTCTGCTTTCGTTTCTTCTGGCCATGGTGAAGTATCCCCACGTGCTACAGAAAGCACAGAATCATATAGATGCGCTTTGTGGGACGCAAAGATCTCCCAATTTTGAGGATCTCGCACGGTTACCTTACATCAAATGCTGCGTCTCCGAGGTCTGTTCCCTCCCCTTTTGTACTTGCTCGTCATTTAATCGATTTGAGTAGGTTTTGCGCTGGAGACCTGTAGCCGCAGGCGGCATTCCGCACACCTTGATTCAAAGTACAGTTATGGCTCCTTTCGAATGTTTGAAGCAAAGAGAACGATGGGAGTGTGCTCACAAAGATAGATGATGAGTATCAAGGATATCATTTCCCCAGAGGGACTACATTCCTGGCAAACACATGGTATAGCAATCTCTCCGTGGTTTGAATAACAGAGAGCTAATGTCTGTGGACTAATGTCCCAGGGCTATTCACCATGACCCAGAATGTTATGATGACCCTGATAGGTTTATTCCCGAGAGATTTGAGCAAAATGAGCTCGGACTCAAACCAGGCCTAAACGAAACCGATGGTATTAGAAAGACGTACGGTTTTGGCGCAGGGAGGCGGATTTGCCCTGGATCTCACCTCGCCGAGAACTCTCTGGTATATCTCCTAGCTTATACATGAGTACCAGGTGTCTCGTGCTAATCAAGTACAGCAAATTAACATTGCTAAAGTTATTTGGGCATTCGATATTCGCGCTGGCAAAGATACTCGAACTGGATTACACCTGAACGTGGAAGATGTTGACGACGATATTCGAACCAGATGGACAGATGGCTTTCTCACAGCACCAAAACCATTTCCCGTCATTTTGTCTCTACGTTCGAATGATCATGGTGCGGTGATTCACCGGGAACTTCAAGAAGCTCAGGATATCTTTGAGACTTATGAAGATTAATCGCCCTATACGGGATTACTTAATCAAGACCTTCGCCAAAAGAGCTTCGAAAGTATCAAAATTTTGAGGATCTATTGTGACGACCATGTACTTTATTTGCCCATGGCCGTATGTTCGGTCAGTGCCAAATTGAAAAAGTAATTCGATCCTGGCCGCGGCCCTATTCAGCATGGTTAAAAAACAAGTTATGTCTTAGTGCTATATTGTACACTTCTCAAAATCCAGTTTCAGAGACGTTAGTATCTAGCCATGAGGGAATTGAAATCCGATATGACCATTCATGCAAAGGCTGAAGGAGGGCTTTTTCCGGTCAGACGTGGCGTAAAGCCCTTTGGGGGACTAGCCTATTAATATGTGACGTCATATCGAATCTTCATTTGCATATGCTAACAAGATATCCGTTGATTCATCCATCCTGTTCGACTTAACCCAATTTAGAGCGAATTAGTGGCATGGTAGATGATTAGTGGCTCTGTTCGGAAAACACAGTCGCGCGTTAGGGCGTTGGGGGGGGGGGGGAGGGGCTGATCAGCTAGCTTGTGAGTTACAATATGGCTTTCAACTTACCCTGGGAGAATATCATCGGGTCTCACAAGTATCAGCATTGATTTTCCCCCACAGACGAAATTGCGGAAAGCGCTACTGGAAGGAAAGGCATCGCCGCAGATGGCTGGGTAAAGACACCCTTCTTTGTCTTCCAGGGCCTAGTCCAGATGGAGAATTGGTGTCATGTTCATATCGTTATCACAACTTCTACAGGGTATAATTATCACCCTGGAACTCAGGGGCTATTTCAAAGTTTGCAAAATTATTATCAATTTGCTCTTTTTGCGCTTTAATTCTCTAAATCTTTCACAAAACTCCATTTTCTGCTGCGTGGGAACCACCAACATCTATTTAATCTTTGACTTCTCTAGATACTCCCAGAATCCCCGGGTTACTTCTTAATGCTTTCTCGCAAAGCCTAAACATCGGTCGAAGCCATTGGACAGTTTACCATTTCAAAACTATAAGCATTTGCACCCGCAGTATGATGCCATCAGCATGGAATGGGGTGGTTTTTAGGAAAACATAGGTTATACGCCATATCCATCGGCTTCGCAAGGAGATATCCAAATAAAAACTATACACTATTCGCCCCAGTGTCATGGGCTTTGGCCGATGATCCCGATAATATAAGGAACTTCATGAAAGTGATAAGGAGACAAAGTTGTCTATGGCTAAAGTAATGATTCTGAGCTATCAGAATTGGATAAGAAACAAAACATTAACTCTGTCCGAAACTACTGCATGCCAGACTCACATCCTACTTTCAACTCACGGCCGACGATATGGGAACCATGACTAGTCATCTGACTTCAAGAACATATCCAAAATCTTCTAGATCTTTCCGGTGTCGGTAGGCAGACTACAATATAAATTTCACCCAAGTGGCATGCCTTGTATTTATGATCCAGCTCAACACAGAACAGCTTCTTGGTCAATTGAAAGACGCCACATGAAAGAAGAAATCGGCACAACGCAACCAAAAGGCATAATAAAGATAAAATAGCGTGGAAGAATGGTTTCGCATATGGCTCTGTTTCTAGCTCCATCTAGTCACTTGCGTATCTGCAGCTTTCTTTCTCATTCACCTACATTATCACATTAACTGGTGCTAGCACATGTTACAAAGGTATGACAGTCACCTTTTAGCGGCGGACCTTTGGTACCTGAAACCCAAGGTTGACGGAGTTCGCTTGTCAACGAAGCTTTTTTTCCATATTATAGCTACCAACACCACCATGTCTCAGGTCTATTTTGATGTCGAACGACGTATTTCAACTGCTTGCTCAGTTGCTAGAACTGCCAAAAGGCAAATTCTGCAGCATTGGCGCGCGAATATGACGTTCTGATCGGCCTATACACGTCTGAATAAGGTTCAGATGCGTGCATTGGAGTCCTGAATCGACAGTCTTGGTAGTCTACATATACCGCCTACTGCTAATATGGTCGTAGTAAGTGCAAATGCAATGTTACGCAGAACAAATTCAATTGCCGCTCCACTCGGCAAAGTCTGGATATACGACTACGCGGCTAATCGTCTACCATCTCACCTCAATTGGTCGCGACAGAAGCCTGCAGACCAAAATCAAGTTACTGCTGAGGATATTGGTGTATTGACAGCGTGGTATGAGCGCTTAGAACCTTTAATAAAGCGTATTCCGGCCAAGAATATCTACAACTTTGATGAAACTGGCCTTACACTAGCAATTTGTACGTGTAGAATATACAGGGCTAATGGACAAGCTGGCTTATTCAGAATTACATAGAGAGTCCTCGGGGTTTTATTATGACAGAATTGTACGAAGACTCTCAGTGTGAGTTGGAAATATGTCGTTCGCTATGGCGATGTACCCACCTTATATTATAGGGATCCTTTCAAAATGTAGACGTACGGCGGTCCCACATAGAAATCCAATTCACTAAGGAATAAATCTCTGATTCTCCCAAATCTGAGAATGCCAACAATTTAAGGGTGAACTAACTAACAACTGACTAATGACATCAATAGTTCACAACTGGAAAGACTAGGAGATAAGGGGTGTGGTAAGATCCCTGTATGTGACCTGTAGGGATTCCAATTCTTAATGAGGGTTTTGCGAAAAGAGATCCACCAGAAGATTAACCGACACGACCACGATATGTCTGGTCCCTAAATCCCTTCAAAAATTTCATCAGCTGGAACCCTTGACTATCTTTCGCTGCTGCCTTCCCAGTTGATCTGCCACCTTTTCCGGGAACACCATTCGCCGACCTTTCGTCTTGCATCTTCCCCACTGGCCCAGCGTCGGTACCAGATGGTTCAGCTGACATAGTGACACTCATCCCAGAGTTTCCAGCCCTCGCTTTGGCTTGTCTGGCAGGAATTATGACATACAATGTCACGATAATGAGGTGTGCATCTCTAAAACCCTTCATCGCGTTGATAGCAGCATCATATGCGGCCACAGCAGGCGAATCCGCACCCTGCTCCCTAGATATTCTCTGAACGAAGGAACGAACTGGACGACCATTTGATCGAAGGTGCTGAAGAAACGCCTGATGGTTGTGATTCATGTAAATCCGAACGCGATCCAGGAAAGCGCTCTTGCTCTCGTCCTCCACTAAACCGAGATATGCGTCTAGAGTGGGGACCAGGGGGCTCTGGGCTGCAGTCGGGCCACTGATATTTGTCAGCATTTCTGCCGAGCCCTCAACTTCCTCGCTACCTTCCCACGCCCATTTTCGGTTGTAAGGATCAACGTCAGCCCCCGTAAGCCAAGGACTGATTTCCTCGTAGAATACTTCAGGTCTCACTAGTTTTTTAGTACTCATCAGAACATCTTTCATCTGCTCAATAACAGCAGCCGCTCCTTTGAGGTACCTCGTAATTCGCCCAACATCCGGATCATCGTTACCTACAATCTCATCCATGGCTAACCTCATCAACTCAACAGCTTCGGCGCCTTTCAGTTCTATGCGAATGTCTGTCATATGAAACTCGTTCTCATCAGGGGTACCAGTAAACGTGGTCTGGGTCTGGAGGTTATCGCTTGTCGGAAGGGCTCCTTCTTCGCGTGGTTCTCTGTGAGACCAGTTATGAAGAGCGTGATCAGAATAGGTAATATAAGGGGCGTGCTGAAGTTGCCTAGAGACTCGGAGGAGAGGGACGGTGAGCGACCGAGGAACGGTGATGGGCTCCCTTGAGGGAGTGGTATGTGTATAGAACTGAACCATAAAAGCAAGGACAAGATGTGCTCGTCTCAGCTCTCTTTCGCATCCTTTAAAATTTTTGACAGATAAAACTGGCATCTGGCAAAGACCAGTCAGACATGTGCTAATTGATTAAACTACCGTCCGTACCTTCTCAACGGTCTTCCTCCATGCTCGAGCTTTCTCCTCCTCGACTGTTTTCTGTTGAGGATCCAACGATAAGGCCTGTTCAGTCGTCTTGAGTTTCTGTGCCTTTGCAAATTCTAAAGTAACCTCCCATGCTTCCCATTCAGCAGAAAGCCTGCACAGAGGCATCCGTGGCGGCACAAATCCGGTTCGGTGGTCCACATAGAAATATTCAGGAGTGGCTGTGTGCGCATTGATTTCCTTGCGCGACTGGTTGGGATGATACATAGTTCTAAGGTCAAAACTTCAAAAGATGTATTTATCTTTCGAAAGTAACTTGTTGCGAGATAAGTTGCAGAACTATCGATTGCTCTGCTCAAGGCGTCGTTAGGTAAAACACGAATGGTGAATAGCAACGGCGAATTGCTCAAAGTCGACCGCAGGTTATGGCTTACTGCAATTATGGGGTCAGTCGTGAGTGCTGTCGTAAAGAATAGCTCTAAGATCATCCCAAGGTATATATATACCCCGAAAGAGGTTTGTGCCATTTATAATCATATTCGGCAACTATCGGCACCAAGCATGTCGATGGAGCGGTCTCGATCTACGGGCCTACCTGTTTCGAATTTTGTCTATGACGAGAAGACTTGAAGGGATATTGACAAAAATCTGTTGACATCAAATAACCAGGCCATCCATGTAAGCTGCTAAAGAGAGGATATACCTAGCCGTAGGTTCTAGGCGCTGAGATTCGGCCAGTAAGAACACGAAGCAGTCAGCTGTCTCAGAGAGACAAAAGATAGGTCGCCGCGTTTGTTAGCTCTAATAGCACTTCGGATTCTCATCCTCCTTTTAGACAAGTATGGCAGGTATGTAGGCATTGTGTCTGGTGACACCTCACTCCGTTCAACTTCTTTGTTGGGAAGCTATATCCACCTAACTACAGAACACCCTGCCTTAAAGTGGACTCATAATAGGACCCACCTCTGATAACTTCTTGAACGGGTTAAATCTAATCCTCCTAGAATAGGACCATTTTTGAGCCCCGTCACTCCCAATCCACATCTTGAATATTTTCTGGAAGCTGCCGGAGCAGCAATCATTAAATGCTTTCTTGATAGCTCATTTCAATCACAAATTACAAAATGCTGGAGTGGCGGAATACAGACCGACATGCACTGCGAAGTAAAAACGGACTAAGTTCAGCCATTCGAGTCGAAAGACGAAGGTACAGGATTAAGAAATGAAGGCGAATCAGGAGACATCATCCGGGTAGGGAAGCGTACCCGCTGCCCCTTTCCAAAGGCCGGCCCGGGCTTAGCCCGCACTGATCGCCAGGTATAAGACGGCCAATCTTCACATGATTATATCGCCCACTAATTTTTAGAAAACTCATTACGTTGTATGACTCATGAAGGGCGTTATAAAGTAAAACAGACAACAATAAGCAGTCTTCTATGGGCGCTGCATGTCGTTTTCAAACGAAAGAGGATGCTTTGGTGGACATGCATGGACCCACCCAGCTTAACTTCCTTTCTAGGTAAAATGATGTTAATGCGGCCCCACCAACATAGCCCCATACCATAGCCACATTCTTAACATTCCTCCCTACAGAAGCACCATCTGTGTTCCCCACACAACTTGCACACAACTTAAATTGGCAACGTGATATATATCGGCGAAACTCTTCTTGAACGGTCCACTACCATACGGAAAGCAACCAGCCAACTTTCAGCCACCAAAACACTACTAGCAGTACCTCCTCGGCAGCAGCAGCACACACAGAAAATGGGTATCCCGCTAGAAACTCACAAGTTCTGCATCATCGTTGGTGCCGGCGTAGGGGGGACTGATACAAGCTGCGGAGCTGGTTCGGAAGAAGGTTTTGACAATACACGATTTGCAAATTTTCGAGCGGGACAGCGACTACGGTGGAGTCTGGAAGGCGGCGACTTATCCCGGAGCGGCGTGCGACGTATTCAGTTGCACGTACCAGATTAGCTGGCATCGAAACCCAGGTGCGTTACAATCGAGAGCTGGGTGTTGATTTTATTGGCACATGTTTCATCGTCCTCTATCACAGCTAAACCTACTGGCTAACGTCTGTTTTGCTAAGATTGGGATTCCCTCTTTCCTACTGGCTCAGAGCTCATCCAGTATTACAGGCGATTTGCGGAGCACTATCGTCTCCCCCAGGTCACAACCTTTGGCCAAAATGTTGTAAAGGCCACGTGGTCCGCGGAGAAGTCTTTGTGGGTAGTAGACCTGGAGGATGTTCACTCCGGGAGTCGGGCACGTTGGACCTGCCGTGTCTTGATCCAGGCGGCCGGCACCTACAATCGCAAATCCGTCCCGAATTACCCTGGCATGCATTTGTTCAAGGGGGAGATGTGGCATGCTTCTGACTGGCCAGAGAACTACTATTTCGCGGGGAAGAGTGTGGCATATGTAGGCACTGGACCAACATCCGTCCAGGTCCTTCCTTACATTCAAGCACAAGCGAAAGAGGTCAGCGTGTTCTGCAGAAGTATGACATACTGCCACCCATTCACAAATATTAAGTACCCAGGTTGGGTAAAATGGGCGTTCCGGTGGATTCCCGGCCTACTTGCTCTGTATTCCCTCATTGTCGCGTCGCTCTTCGCCCCTTGGGCCTACTTTGCCTTTAGGCCCGAAACGTGGCTTGCAAGATACACGGAGCATTATTGCCGCAGGGTTTTAGAGAAACAGGTTCCTGATCCGGATCTCCGGAAAAAGCTGAGCCCTACCGGTCGATTCGGGTCAAAACGACCGCTGGTTTCCCTCTCCGGATTCTTCGATGTTCTCCAGAAAGAGAACGTTAATGTGGTCAGCAATCCAATCATGGCCGTGGACGAAGCTGGCATCACCACAGAAACACCCATGACAAATGATGCAGTCATTCAGATAGATGACGCAGACAGCAGTGTTTCCAGCGTCTCCACAGAAAGACCGAAGGTTGGAGGCACACATATAAAGGCAGATGTAATCATCTGGGGCACCGGATTCCAGATGCAGGGATGGGGTGGAGCGGTGCCGACTTTAGGCCGTGAAGGTAAACTGCTCAGCGAACACTGGAAAGACTCCCCAAAGACGCTCTTTGGTACGTACACTCTCCATCTACATCCGTGGAGCCCGCGTTAAGCTATGACAGGCACTATGACATCCGATTTTCCAAACCTCGTTCTGGTCAATAGTCCGAATACAACGACTCCTTGGGGCAGCCTGATACGGAGCCTCGAACATCAGGCAAGGGTCAACCGCAAAATTATCCGACACATACGCAAGAGCTCGAAAAAAGATCCTAGCTACACGATAGAGCCTCGACCAGAGAAAGAGATTGGATGGACGGAGTCGATGCAGCCAGAGCTCGAAAAGCTGGCCACCAGCCCCAAATATGGACCTGCATTCTACTACCTCAATTCTAAGGGACAGAACACATTCTTCTGGCCTTGGCCGCAGCGATATTACTGGTGGAAGACAAGGAAATTAAATATCGGAGATTATGTTGAGAGATGTGGCTTGCACAAGGAATTATGATCCCATAAAACATTTTCTTGAATTAATGGATGACATCAATGATTATTATTTATTGTACTACTTAAGGGATTTACATCAACCCGACTATGCGTACAAGCTCTTGCTTCTTTTGCTTCTTTTCTCAAAATATGACCAACCTTTCCGTAAAATGCATCTTCCTTATGTTCCGTATCGAATTTCGAAGAACATGGGGACATCATTAGCTCTTGAATTTCGATGCTTGTAAAATTTTCCTGGCGATAACGACAGATATTCTGAGCATTATTCAGCATCTGTTCAACAACGGCTCCAATTAGGGGAACCGAAAGCACTTTACAAATGCAGCCCACTGGCTCTAGAGAATGAAACATTTTTCCAGCCACCAGTCCGCGAGAAAAGAATTATTCGAAGGAAACAAAGGGTGAAACGAACAGAGCAGAGAATTAAATAGAAGCAGACTTGGACTACCTACTTGAATGTGGAACCTATGTTTCAAACCATGCCTCGGCCCTTTCTAGTCAATGGCATCTCTTCTTCTTCACACTGCGAGGGCTCCAGATGGACCGTCAAGGGGTCTTTGATTCAGACTATCTCAAAGTAGTTTTCTTCATGGCTTGCAAGATGTCGCTCAAGTTTGTTGCTACTCTAATCTTCTATCTCACCTCTAATCAGGAGTGATTTGAATGGTCCTTCCGCTGATTGTCAAAGTATTACCTATTCCAAGACGGTTAAAAGTTTCCGGTGGCGATGGCGAGGCAACATGCAGCGAAGGAAACTTGTGCGGCATTGACAACCCTAGTTGACACTAAATCAGGCTCTGTTGAAAACGAAGAAAATTTATCGTTGCCAAGGAACACTGGTCTGGCCAAATCTTGAAGGAGAGCACACTATTACGAGCCACTGGCTATAATTCCTCTGGATTCGAAGTTAAAGGGAGAAAGTTTTGTTAGAAAATGAATTTAAAAGGGGACACAGGTGGTGAAGGCGAGATGAAACGAAACTGGTGGAAGATCAACAGGCTTGAATTTACCTGTATGGCACAAGTACCACAAGATCACCTTGCTATACCAGCAGCAGAGGTAGATATCGAGAGATAAGGCGCTTGGGACCTTATTAAGGCTGAAAGATGCTGAACGTTGGAAATCTGAATAGTTACATAGTTAAATTTTTTACAGCGTAGAATAAAAAATTATGAGTCGTACCTAGAACACCCTTCTTATGTGCGAATTCAATGGATGCAGTGGCCAGGGTTGTTGAGGTTATGGCTGTTCGCATGAGCAAACCCCTGCTTGAATACTAGAAAATAGTTCGCGAACCTGTTCGAAACTCACGATTTTTGTCGAATCGAATCGCCCGTAGATTCGAAGCCCGAAATTCAAGGTTCAAATTCTATTCGATTTGTTGAGATTGTTCGAATAGCTCTAAAGTTCGTGCGGAGCGGCAGTCGGCCCACGACTACTCTTCTGACGGCTCCGAAGGCCAATGACACAGGCGGAATTTGTAATTCACATTCCACTTTCCTTCTGCGCTACCGAGAGAGAGAGCTAACCTTGGTTGATTGAGATATTCGCTGAGCTAATTAAATGGGATTGGCTTAAACTCCTCTCGGGCTTTGCTGGTGGCGGGATTCTAACATGTAGCCGTGCCAAGACCACAGTCCACTCACAGCGTTTTGGCATCCCACCGCCACCCGGAAACCTACTAATAATATGTAGCACTTCATGGTTATGTTCATTAGGTAGCCATTATGTAGATCTCAGCACAAGATTGTCCACTTGGCTTGTCTCAAGTTGTGGTTGAGTTGATTATTACAGTGACGTCCTCATCAATACCACTTGCCTGATGCTTCACATTCTCCGAATTCGCTGGACGGTCTTCAAGTCCGAAAGTGACTTGCCTGCGCCAGTTCTGACTTGCCGCCTTTACTGAATCTCTTTCAAAGTTCTTGTTGCCATTGTAAAATCCCAGTTTTTGGCAGTATTGCTTCAGGCCTTGTCGCTAGACACTTCATTCGGTGCTTCAGGCGACCATCAAATGAAAACGCGTTGATCGCGCTGATTTATACGTCAGCTTTTGCGATGGATAGATTCGGCATATAGCTTGCTGCCGTATCCTTATCCGATTGGCACTCAATGTTTCGCGCAGTGCCGCTAGATGCTTCCATGGGTTACACACGGATGGATGGATGGATGATTTCATTTACCCCGACCCCTCGCGAACGATATGCAGGATTCAACAACTATATACATGTGTCTCTTCGTAATTGCCGTGTCTAATTTCCTAAGCGACCTTAATGCCTCGCCGAAGCCTTTCGTGGCTCCCTAGCCCTTCGTTCTCATGTTGTCTTCATGGTACTCGGCTTTGAAACCGTTGTGATGCTTCAGCGAAGTCCAAGACGGCTTCCACCGTCTTCGCCTTCGAAGCATGGCTAACCTTACCTCTCTCCTCTCCTCCAGACCCTCCTAGTAGGGTTGAAATGCTGTTGAACGCCTCGCCGACCTTTTCTCGGAGCTCTCGCCGAAGTGCTCTCAGCTCTGGACAGTCTAGCAGAACATGGCTTACACTCTCGCGTTCGCCACAGACACATAGGTCATTGTCGCGGAAGCGAAACGTCTTTGCATATGTTGATAGCCAGCAGTGGCCAGTTCGCAATTGGGTGAGTAGATAAGCCCGGTTCCTCGGGAGGGAACCGTAGAGGCCACGTGTGTACTTGGCTGGCAAGGTGTTGTCAATCCGGCGCAGGTGGCTGCCAGTCTTCGACCCTTTCCATTCCTCTGCCCATTGGTCCTGAATAACTTGCCTGATATGTGCTCTCTCGCGTGATATCAAGGGACTGAACGGGTGTGTCTTGCCCGGGATGGCGGCTTCTTTAGCAAGCTGATCGGCGATCTCGTTCCCCGGTATTTCGCAGTGACCGGGGATCCATTGTAGTCGAATCATTGTACCATGGTTCTTGGTGGTTTCGGCTGCTCGTAGGATGGCGTGGATGATCTGCTGTCCCGACTTGTTCCCCGGTCTTCGAATAGCTTGCAGTGCCGACATACTGTCGCTGAAGATCGTGGCGGATCTCACCCGCGCGTGCGATGCTGTCCAACGTCGAACCGCGACTTGATTGATGATATTGATAGCGTATAGAGATCCCAATGAGCTCTGCCGCATGGACCGACCAGCGGTCCATACTGCCCACCTGTATTTGTATCCTGTCAGTTGTCTGCTGCCTCTCGTCGATCGCGACGGCTGCAGCTCCCCAGATGACCTTGTCGCCCCGAGGCGTCTGAGTAGATCATCACGTCCGAGATGGATCGTACCGTTTCCGCTTTCTCTATTGCGACCTCTCGATCAGGTTCTATTTCGATTCTGGCGAACCCCTCCGGTCTCCATGGAGGGAGCGGGGTCGGGTCAATCATCTCGATTTCTCTCAGTCTCTCCAAGTTCATTGTTTTCAACGCCTCTGCTAGAGGGAACCTGGCGTATGATCCAATATTGTCCCGCCTTCTCTGGGCCCGAAGAAGGGTGCTCCAGATAGGATGTTTTTGGGGCAGGGTGTGGAGTCTTGTAATGGTATTCTGTGCACGGAAGCGTAGTCGAAGATGGATTGGCCGGACGTGTGCTTCTACATCCAGCGCAGCTGTGGCCACCGTTCGAAATGCCGATAGAACGCGGATGAGCGCAGTCCGCTGTACGGTGCGTAAGTGCCGAAGATGCGTCTTATCTCGGAGTGGGTCATGCCAGACGGTAGACGCATAGTCAATGACCGGTGCGACACACGCTTCGTAGAGCTGACGCATCTGCTCTGGGCGTAAATGCCGTAGTCCACCAAGAGCGAGGTTGACCTTTGTAGCTCGTTTGGCCGCCTGCTGTACGTGTGGTTTCCATCGTAGCTCATGGTCGAAGATAATTCCCAGTAGTTTGGCCGTTGTGGATGGTTTGACTGCTTTGCCATTCATGATCAGTTCCCCTTGGCACTGTTCCTTTCTCTTGCGAGTGATGTGGATAAGTTCAGTTTTCTCGGCCGCGAAGCAGGATCCGGTTCTCCGGGCCCATGCTTCGATGCGTGGTATGTCTTCAAACTGGATTCTGGCTAGGTTCTCCTCTGCACTCCAGCCAACTCGCCAGCGAAAATAGTCGTCGATGAAGGCCGAAGCTCCGCCTTTGGAATCTACGGGCTGGTCCACCAGATCATTATTGAAGAGCGTGAACAGAATGGGCGAGAGTGGAGAGCCCTGCGCCAGCCCGGCATTGTCTAGCGGTGCTACCTCGGTCTGGTAGTCATCGAACCGGATACTGGCTTGGCGTCCGCTCATAAAGCTCGCGATCCATCGTCGGGCAACCAAAGGGATGCCCTTGGATTGGAGACGAGCGTCCAGGCTTGTCTGGTTGACTCCGTTGAACGCCCCTTTTAGGTCGAAGGCGACTAGCGTCACCACTTTTTGTTTGTACCACGCTTTGTCGATTGCGTTGGCAAGTACTAGAAGGGCTTGCTCGGTGGTGCGTCCTGGTCGGCCTCCAAACTGAGTGTCCGGTAGTAGCCCGTACTGCTCCGCGTAGAAGGACAACCGTCGGGCGACCACTGCTTCCAATAACTTTCCAAGCGTGTTGAGGAGCGAGATGGGGCGGTAGGCTCCTGGTTGCGAGTAGTCTGGCTTTCCTGGTTTCCGCAGAACTACGATCTGGGCGCATCTCCACCCTGGGGGTGATATCCTAGTTCGATCGACACCGTGAAAATCTTGGTAATGATGCTCCCGAGGTAATCCCAGAGACGTTTCCAGACTAACATGGGAAGACCGTCTTCACCTGGCGCTGTTGATGGTTTTGCAGTACTGAGCGATCGGTAGATCTCGATCTCTGAGATCGGTTGCCATGGGATTTCGGCTGGGGGTCTAGGCAGCTGTTCGTCTTCGGCGGGCGCCATCGACGGGAAGAATGCGTCCATGAAAGCTTGCGCCTTTTCTGGATTATCAGCCACCTCCCTGTCGCCGACCCGGAGCGTTGGGACGCAACCCCACGCCTCCCGTGGTTTC